AGGGAAGTTTGCAGGATGCTGGTAGCGTATTTTGAGGTGCTTCACACACACCACTGCCTGTTAGCACTGGAATTCAGAAATGATGGCTATGTTTATGGAAGTCTGATGATAAAGGAAATCAGCATAGATTACGAGGTGCAGCTCACCAGGATGCCTGTGATCTGTTTTTGTTAGTGTAGAAAGGCAAGAACCTGCAATGCCCATGATTATCGACGCTACTTTGAGTGCATTTAGTGCTGAGTAATAGGATTGATAAAATAGACAACAGTGATTTCAAGGAAGCATCACCACCTATCGTGGTCATGTGTAACTGTACAGTGACTAGAGGTGGATGTGGGAGACGACTCCCATGCCTTCTTCACTGAGAAACATTTTTCTCTTGCTGGTCTTAACACCCTTGATCTTCCTAATGCTGTTTGTTTGACTTCTTTTGTATCTTACCTCTAAAATGTTCTTATTTTGGCCTCATTGAAATAGCACGCAGTGCTAGTAGAAAGTATTTTATGTCTAAAAGCATATGTCTTCTGGAAATACTGAACTTTATGTATAGCTAGACATGCCATATATTTGTGTATAGTGTATGGACACAATTATTGAACTGAAATTTTGGTAATGTGTTAACTAAGGTGAATAACAAATACATTTTATTTTATTCTTTCTTTTTAACAGACGCATATGAAGATGGTGTGTATCTCCTAATATCGTTTACTGCTGATCGGGTATGTAATGTTATCTCACAGTTTCTGAATTATCACTTAGGTGATTATTATTGTATTTTTAACTATAGGTATTTTAATTTGGGAATTCAAAATGTCTAGATAATCCACCTTAACATTAATTTGTGCTCATGATCAAATAGACCCAAGTAATGTGATTAAACTGTGTTAAGAACAAATTTAAGAATGATTCTGAAATTACCAATTTCAGCGTATTGTTAAATAGGCTGTACATTTATGGCATTGTAATTTCTAATATAATTGTGAAAGTACAAGTTTATTTTATAAATTATTTCTATAAAGTGAAAGCACATACCAATGCAGAATGTCTGAGGCATGTAGATGGGTCAGAACAGCTGTGCCAGGAAAACCAGGCCTTGCTGGTGAAAAGGAAGCTGGAGGTTGCACACAGGAAGCTTTAAGGACAAAAAGTTTCACCCTGGCTTACAGCTACAAAGGATTTGGGTTTCTTCTCAAGGATGGGCACCTAAAATTGTTCCTGATCCATTTTGCGAGTTCAGGGTCCTCCTTGCTGTTCTCTACCTTGTTGTTCAAGCTATGTTGCTGCTCCAAGAAAAAAGAAAGAAAAGTTCACAGGGCCAGAAAGACGGCATCTGTGTTAGTACTGCATTTGCCTGTATTCAGCGTAGAATGTATTTATTGTGTGCAATCTTAGTTCTGGGAGGAAGCAGCAGGATACACAGTCACTGGCAACCAGAAAAAGAAATCACTTTCTAAAACGACAAAGGTGGGGGGGGAGCAGGACCTGCCCCATTCATGAGTCCTACTCATGCCCTCCCATCGATGACAAACCAGAGGTGTATTTGTGGTTATGAGTCATAAACTTGAGTCCCAGTCCTAGCATGTGTGCATTGACCCCAGTCAACGTATTCTATAGAAACATCTCAGCATCCCACAGGAGATGCTGGGTTTTGCTGCCATGGCCATGCCACTTTGCAAAGCCTGCGAGAACCAGCTTGATGGGAGAGCAGAGAAAGCAGCTTAGTTCCAACCACAGCTTTGCACAGCAGTGGTGGAGTCACTGCTTCAGTTCAGGATTGCTTTTTCTCTTTATTCTTCAACATAGAAAATCTGGCATGCGTTCCTGGGTAACGAAGTCAATGAACAGGAGTGTTTATTTTAAGTACTGGCATTTCTAGGATGCTGGGTTTCAATTTTTATCATAACAAGTTGAATAGCTGGAATTAAATTAGACTGTAATTTTATGGACTTTTGGTTTAAAAGAAATGCTTTTTCTATTGTAATGGAAAATACACTTTGTTATTTCATTAGTTTTCCAGGGTGCCAGAATGTCTTCTAATTTTACCCACACTGTTCTTTGTTCTCATGTAATTCTGTCTTTGTCAAATAATTTAATGTTAATTGCTAAGGAAGAGAAGTTTGTTTTGCTAATATTCAGTATTTGCAGTTGCAAGGAGATTATAAAATAAATGCACCTTTTCCTGCTCTTACAAAAAGTTGGCAAGGAAAAACCTAATTAAAGAGATCTTGAATCAACCAACAGTGAAAAATGCTTGCACTAAAAGTAATACTTTCTAAGCACTAAATATGCAAAATTATGTCATAGTACATTTGCATGGGATCACACTTGGGCTGTGAACCAGCAGGCACCATCTCTGGGCTGCTTAACATGGCATTCACTCTCTGGACCTGGGTACACCCTAAAGAAACCATGTGCCCATAATCTATTTAAAATCACAGCAACTGGAAATGAGAGGGGACCTGTGAGTGCTAAGGGAGATGACGGGGGTGGAGGAGCTGTTCTGGGAAGGCATAAAGCAGGGAAAGCAAAGCCTGGATCAGGCCTCATAGAAGCCAGGAGATGAAGCATAACTGCTGTTCCTGTGACAGTGGAGAAAGGGTTTGTCCATGCAGCACTTGCTGCCCATGTCAGGGGTTAAGAGCATCTGGTTGCTTTGCTCCTCACATCTACCAGCTGACTGGCAATTAAAGACACAGCAGAGCCCAGCATCTAGCCAGATTAACAATGTGAAGAAAACTGAAGACTTCAACCTGTTATTGAAAATAAATAACAATGTATAAGTATTTAAAAAAAAAAAGAAAGGAAAGGAAGAGAGGAAAGCAAGTGAAAAGCTCAAGTGGACTTGTACCAGTCTAATGACAATCTTTGATATTTTTTTTTTACTTTTCCTTCCAGAATGTTTTAAATATCAGGGTTTTGCATCACGGTTACACTGATCCAAACAACTTAATGTTTACTGAAATCAGAGTCCTGGGGGTGCCCACCAGTGTTAAGCAGGTGACCGTATCGCAGAATGGCAAACAGAACGGCGCAGAACAGACAATTGCATTGTCTCACACCATGGACTACAATGATGCCAAGAAGGTGAGATGCCATTTGCAGGGTAATGCCACCTTCACAACTCCATATGTGCTCTTAAACCTTTGGAGATTCAGCTCTCAGCTGTAATACCATTTTAAAAATATATTTCAGCAAGATACATAAGCTACCAACAGGTAATGATTATATAATACACTGTTTAATATGTAGCAAATATTGTGCAGTAAGTGTGGTAGAGCTTTTATGCATAGAAATTACTGTTGAGGAACCCAAACCTCTTCTGACAGTGGAAAAGTGGTGGATTTTGGTTTGTGCTTGGTTTCCACTTTTCCTAATAGCTTGCAACTTGTGAGATTTGGAGAAAGAAAAAGCAACCAGAAGTATTTTCATGCTCTCTATATGACCCTGTTGTTGTCAGTCTTGTCTGACATTTTCATTTCCCAGCCCTGTTTGCCTACCACCATTTCTTATTCTGTCATGTCATATTTGGGCTGCAGGCATTGCAGCATGGGGTTCCTACATGTACAAGTCAAATCCCACTTCTAAAGTTATCGGCATGGGTTTCCATCTGCATGGGTCGTGCCTGCCCAGGGCACTTCCCCCCTGCCGCCTCCCTGGACAATCAAGTCAAGCACTCCTAAAGGCAGCTGAAGGAGGTGTGTATAACTGCATTGCCATTCGAGACGGCACTCCTGTGGAGCATCCTTCAAATATGAACAGAACTGCTGAGGCGTTCAGTCTTGCCAGTTTTCTGGTAGAGGGAGACTGCCTAACCTCTTCTGTTACTGGGATCTTACTACCCTTCCTTTGAAATTCAGTATTCTGTTAAGTCTTAGTTCTTCCTCTCTTTCATGGAAAGCCAGAACTGTATAAGTTTTGTACATAACCAAAAAGATGAATTAAAAATGTAACAGAGAATGGAAGTATTTCATTCTGCTGTTGACTTTTTGATGGAAAAAAGGGAATTCATATGCACAGTTGAATTACAGTGTGTTCCAAGTTTTGCTGCCTTTTTTTTTTTTTTTTTAAATTAACAGGAACCTCAGCTCTAAAAGGGCCTCTGAATGAAGGGAAAGGATCAGAATCTCATGATCAGAAATCCAAAAATCTATGCTGGTTAAACTATATTTATAGTGTTACAAACACAAAAGCAAAGGAAGAGGAATAAATTCTTGTAACCTAAAATGAGAAAGCACTATATTCTCTATTGAAGACAGACAAAGCAGTGGATCTTCAGGGCAGAGTTACTAATTGTTCGTTTTGTTTTGCTTTCTCACAGCTCCTGACAATCACCAGGCTTCAACTTGAATTGGGCAAAGACTACACTGTGCAATGGAGCTAAGATGCCTGCCAAACAACGTTGGCCATACCACTGAATTTTCTCATTGTTTTAAAACTATCTTTCAACTTTCATACTGCCTCTTTGGCATCTTAAAATACTTTTAATTATAAAAACATACTAGTATAGTCGATTCATATTAAGATATTATGTGTATAAAGCAGTCACGTTTCAGTACTGTTGAAGGTTACAAGGTCTCCATGTGATGCAAAATCTATATTTTAAGCAGTACGGCACATCAGTGTAACTTGTCTTTCAAAACTGAGAACTGAATGTAAAACTCCATGTTTTTTCAGAGTAGAATCTCTGGCTAACTTCACGCATGCCAAATTTTGTAAAAAAAGATACGTTTGGTGTTACCTGCATGGATTTGCGGCCATAATTCTGCCTATTTAACTTTCATCTTAATTTTAATTATGCCTATGTAAGTCACTACTACAGAGAAGTATTTAAGGCCAGACAAAATAAATGTTTTCAGATTACTGATTTAGCAAGAAATGATGTTTCAAGCTGTTGATCTATAAAATACTAAGGTACTTGCAAAAGTAATTTGAAGTTTGGTTTTTTTTTTGTATGACTTTAGCCAGACATTTGTGTTCCCCAGTGTTTTGATCTGAAGTTGTAAAATTAAACCTGAAGTTTCAAGGTTAATTAATGAATGTTAGTCTCTGAGTGTTTATTTCACTGAAGGAAAGGTTGTTGTATGTTTACTATAACAGTAATTCATGTTAAAGACTCTTTGTATTCCAGGAGTGCAGCATATGATCTAAACAGATTGGTAAAGCATGTTTACAATTAAATTTGATGGGAATAAACTGCTGTCAGAAGTAGTAGCAATCTCTAGTGACTATGCTTAAGATTCGTTTAAAGGATTCTTCTCTGCTTTAAAATTTTGTGGTAAAACAGCTAAGTAGCCAGTATCTCATAGGTGGATCATGGTAACTATAGGGCTGAATTTATTGAAACTTCCCTGTAAACTAATAATGAAATTAGCAGTCCAGAGAAAATGATCATTTAGGACTAAAGTTACCATTTTGACAAATATTTTTGTCTGAAGGAACAAACTACACTGTTTCTCCAAAGTTAGCGATGACCAGCTGCGTAAGTAAGCAGATACAAGGACATGTCCCATTGCTGCAGAGAGGGGAGGTGCAGGTTACTAAGCCTCCGACACATTCACTGTCACGTTATGTCCTACCACTTTGCTCCCACCCGACTGATGTGTGAAACACTAGGTACAGCCAAAGGCTTTCCAAGAGCTTATTTTCACCATTTTTCTTACTATTAGTTTTATTGGGGGAATCTCATTGTTCTGTTTTCTCGGCTTTGAGAGGCTCAGCACGTCAGCTGAACTACTGGTGTTTCAGCCACAGGGGAAGGCTTTTACTGTGTCCCCAAGATAATAATTCATGAGGAACTCATGCAGACTGAGAAATCACAGCTTCAAACACGCGTCGGCCACCTTCGGGAGGTGCTGCCTGCTGTGTCTCTTCCAAAGGGCCTGGGAAATGAGCATCCCCTCCTGCAGTTTGTACAAGCACATGCAGCCCAGCAAAGCCTGGCCCACAGCTCACTTCTGAAATATCTGTGCGGCATCACGGCCCTTAGTTGGACAACAAACAAGCTGTATGCTGAACTGGGTGGCATTTTTTTTCAGGTTGACAGTAGCTCTTGATACAATGCTACTCTCTGGGTCAGGTACATACACGTGTTGTGAAACATCCTCTGCTGCAAGACGTCCCATTAAAGTCCATGAGCCGGGCAGTTTTCAACAGAATTAAGTGAGCAGCAACAAACTTACTACTTGTGTAAGTAGGATTTTTTGACTATTGCTCTCTGCATAGTTTGACTTTCTAGCACTTGAAAAAATTACTCGTAAAATAGCATAACAACCCCCAGAGATTTGACGCAATCCTGCTGCCCATTGCACCAGAAAATTCTCACTGAAGGCACAGTATCTTCCCTGAAAGCCATAAAGTTCTGTTTTCAATATCCTTTTTCTGGACTTTATTGGCTGCTGTCTTGGCTATTCTTAAAAAATAAATCCAAAGAAAACAGTGCTTGTGAAAAGTCATAAATTTATTTGGTATATTAAAATCTTTTGCTAGCTTTTTCCTGGTATTAAAATACCAGGGTTACATTATGAATAGCGTATTGTTGTGAGTTAGCCCTGGTAGGCAGCTAAATAGTGTCAAAGACCCAACAGACTGCTGGAAATGAGGATGCTGCATTCAGAACACCACCCCGCATGCGCCCTGGTCTGAAACGGGTACTTTGGGTGGCCAGAGGCAGGATCCTGGGTGATGAAGCTCCTTGCACTGAGTCAGTATCCATTTTGCACCTGCATCAGTGTTTGGATGGATGAACAAAAGGAAAGCTCACATCCTAATGAGACGTCTTCTATTTTTAATTCCTTAACAAACTGGAATTTTAACTGTGACCATTTTCAGCAGGGTTCTTCATGTCATATGTACAGCTGAAATCCTCCTGAGAGAGAGAGAGTATATATTTGTACGTAGGTATGTGTATATATATGAGCATTTTATATACCTATATATATACACAGACATAATTTTATATATATATACACACATATGTATACAGAAATATGTATATACTATATACATCTATTTATTCATGTTGTATATATACATAAACATAATATATACATACACACACACATATGTGTATATAGATGCATATGTAAATACATGTGTTTTATTTAATCATTAATAAGTGAGTTTCTTCTTTAATGAGACTTTTTTTAAACTTTAATAATGTTCAGGTTTCAGGGGAACTACACGAGAGAACAGCCAGATGCAATCAGGACCTTATGAGTATACTTTTTTGCCTTGAAACAATGTTCAAGGTTTAAGTAGCTCATCCCAGAGCTGATCCAAACCTCATGGGAATCAATAAGTTTCTTTCTGTGGGCTTTGGATTGCCTCCTGAAAGATTAGGTCAGTTTTTTAAAACCTGTGTCTTCTGCCGCTGGCACGGGTCCCAGCACAGGTCCAGCTTCATTTACCAGAGCAAAAATGGCCTTTGAATCCATAGCTGCAGACAAAGACTGCAGCTTGGAGATTAAATCAAGGTCAAGTAACAGGTTAATGAACTTTATGAAACTGTCTCTCCTAGCTGTGTAATTAGGAGCTGTGATCAAACAAAAACTTCAGCATTCCAGTTGCTCTAACCTCGGCATGCAAAGGACTTGGGAAACTTCACAACATACAGCAATTGCACTTAAAAGCTAAAGGTGGTTGTGCAGATCCCTTCGCTTTGGCTAACATGCTTCTGCAAGATGAACAAATGTGAGTGTTATCGCTGCAAGAGCGCAGCGGATACAGAGAAAATGCCCAGTAAATACCCCTCCAGATGATAGCTTTTCAGGTACTAGTGGATAATCCCGACTGTTTTAAAGAAAATCAAATAGTTCTTTATCCACATAACAAATGGTTAATGTTGCAGTTATTTACTGCTGCACCAGTGAAGGTGCCGTACAAGCCTGAGCTGTGCCCCAGCTCCCCAAATTAGCCTGAGCACAAGGCCACCAGGGGGGACTGATGAGGGCCAGGTCTATAACTCCACCACAAATCAAGAGGAAATTACATTTCCAATGACAGGTAGCACGACCTTCAATACCTCGCAGTACAGAAGCATTTTATATCCAATTATTACTAATCCATCAGCCAGCCAGGCAACCACTGTGTTTGCCCTTGTGCACTGAGCACATGCAGCTGACCCAAAGGAGAACGTGCTCTGACGAAATGTGGCATGTTTGGATTGCAAAGGCCAAGGTGGTTTTTTTGGGTGGATTCCCACCTGGCCTCTGTGTCCCCTGCTAAGAAAGCTCTGCTTTTGGTCTTAAAGAGACAGAAAGCAGAGAAACTGCAAATTTGGGGTTCATTTCACCCCTTTTCCTTCCTATTTCTCAAATAGCAAGTACAGCAGACCTCTCTGCAATCTCCTGCACCATTTAGTAGTTTATCTCTGTATTTTAAATATGGTTATGTGGCTGTAGCAATGTGTAGTATTTAGATCTAATTACCTTTCTCGTGCTTGGAAAGTGGAAGAATCCAAGAATTCTTCAATAATACAACACATGAAGCACAAGCTGGGAAATAGCTGGACATTTTCAGAGGAGTGCCCTGTAATAACCAGAGGGCGACTTACCTTAAACAGATTCTGACTCAAAAACCTGTGGAAACAATAATGAAATACCAGTGTTTCCACAACGCTTTTGGGTCAGAACCCAGGTCTCCAGGCTGCAGGGTTAATTCCTGCAGTATCACACCTGATATTACTGCCATCTGGGAAGATGACAGAAGCTACAGATTTCAGTGATAGCTTTGTTATAGCATATGCTATATAAATAGTGGATTTTATAAATAGTTCTGGTTCTCATGGACTAAAAGGTAATCGGGATGCTTGCATTTTTTGCCTTTTGAAAGATGCTGCCATGTGGCTGTCCTTCCTCCCGTCTCATGTTGCAGCTGAAGGATGTTAGCAGCGAGTTTTTCAATACAAGATCTCCTACCTTAGCTTAGTTCTTCCTCCATGAAACTATTGCATTTTGAAAGGAGCTCTTTCACTGCTAAAAAGAAGTGCCCACTTATGCCAACCTACAGGAAAACCACCACTAATTGGTGTGGGAAGGAAATTATAAAGAATCAACTCACATTTGCCTTCAGCGCGATGCCAAAGGGTTTCTACGGGATGCACTTACTCCGAAGGACTTCTCTTGGGTACAACATATATGAGCGAGTGGAAGGACTGTCTGGGGGTGGAGTATCTCTGTTGAACAGGACCAGATATCATTGTGCTAAAGAGACATTGATGGCCCTGAAATTACCATTCCACTAATGTAAAAGACAAAACTGTGTCACACTTGGCTGTGCTTGTTCTAATGAAGCTGCCACACACACACGCAGTTAATTGGATTTTTCCTTGGAGCCTGGAAGTAACAGCTGGATGGCAACATCTGGCAACACGTCGGGAGCATG